GGACTTTCATCGGCCTCGGGAACTCCATGCAGGCGCAAGGGGAGACCGCATTTCTTGCGCTGCACGAGGGGAATACATGGCCACCCCAGACCTTCGACAACGGCCCAGGCGGCGGCATCGACGACCTCAACCAAATTCACGATCATGGCATGTACAAGAACCATCATTGGAATACCCAGAATCGCTGTCTCGTGCGAAACCCGCATTTGTGCGGAGCGGTCATGATGCACGTCGAAGAAGTGTACGACCAGGCGCAGAAGCCCGACACCACCGCGGGCATGATGCGTTTCCTGATCGGACATTCCTCAGCCGTTCTCAACATGGAGGAGTTGCGGCAGATTGTGCCAGAAGCTCACGACGACACGGTGGGGGGTGATCACTCTGTTGCAGGCAGGCCCCGCTTCGAATGCCAATCTTGCCCGTATCGGCGGATCGCCGGATCGCCTGGCCGCCGGGTCGCCGGGATGCCGGGTCGCCAGGTCGCCGGGTCGCCAGGTCGCCGGGTCGCCGCGTCGCCGGGTCGCCCGGTCGCCAGGTCGACCGGGACGCCGGGTCGCCGAGTCGCCGGGATGCCAGGTCTCCCGGACGCCGGGTCGCTGGGTTGCCGGATCGCCGGATCGCCGGATCGCCGGGTCGCCGGGTCGCCGGGATGCCGGGTCGCCCGGTCGCCCGGTCGCCGGGTCGCCGGGTCGCCGGGTCGCCGGGTCGCCGGGTCGCCGCGTCGGCCGCGTCGCCGGGTCGCCGGGTCGCCGGGTCGCCGGGTCGCCGGGTCGCGGTCGCCGGATCGCCGGGGTCGCCGGGTCGCCGGGATGCCGGGTCGCCGGGTCGCCGGGTCGCGGGTCGCCAGGAGGCGCGTCGGCCGCGTCGCCGGGTCGCCCGGTCGCCGGGTCGCCCGGGGTCGCCGGGTCGCCGGACATGCCGGGTCGCCGGGTCGCCGGGTCGCCGGGTCGCCGGGATGCCGGGTCGCCGGGACGCTGCGACGCCGGGTCGCCGCGGCGCGCCGGGACGCCGGGTCGCCGGGTCGCCAGGAGGCCGCGTCGCCGGGTCGCCGGGACGCCAGGTCGCCGGGTCCCCGCGGGTCGCCGGGTCGCCGGGTCGCCGGGTCGCCGGGTCGCCGGGTCGCCGGGTCGCTGGGTCGCCGGGTCGCCGGGTCGCCGGGTCGCAGGGTCGCCGGGTCGCCGGGTCGCCGGGTCGCAGGGTCGCCGGGTCGCCGCCGGGTCGCCGGCCTTTGTGGAGTTCTCTCTGTTTTGTTTCTATCACCGCCTACTTATCGCGCCCCTGTTTATTGCGCGGTCGCTTGAGCTCGCCTCGCTTCGTATTTGATGGTGGCTGAATTGTCGAACGCGCTAGAGTCACGGGCTGCTGCTCCTGACCACACCACAAAGCAAACAAAGAGGACGAGGAGGAGCAATGGCATGAGAAGAGGGGGAAGAGGAAAAAGGATGAGGAGGAGGAAAACAAAGAGGAGAGGGGCAGGGAGGGAGAGGGAAGGAGAGGGAGGCGTTTCAAGAGGAGAGTGAAGTTGAGCAGTGGCAGCAAGATGAAAATGTCCGCATGTCTGCTACGGCCCTCTCCGTTCTCACGAGTAAGATGAGCTTGCCTGGCCACGCGTGCTTGGCGTATGGAGTTAACTGGGTGAGCGGTTGAAGGAGGGGGAGGGGAGTAGCGGAGGGAGGGAAAGGAAGGGAAGGGGAGGTAAGGAGAAGATCACCTCGCCGAAGGCTTACCAAAGGATTTGTTTCACGGCTCGCGTATCCCCATCAGCCCGTTCAGAGACCTTGCCACGAGAGTTGACTGGAACAGGGGCGGAGAGGCATATCTTGAAATAGTGTGGGCAAGCATGACGAACGGAGAGATCTTTGGGAGCAAGGGGGTGGTTTTGGAAGGCTTTTTCGGGCCATACTTGGGGCGCGCGCGGGGGGGGTGGGGGGCGAAGGGAGGAGGAGGAGGAGGAGGAGGAGGAGGAGGAGGAGGCAAACCGCTTCGTGGGGCTCTCGTGGGACGCTCTTGGGCGCTCTTTCGGCCGTCTTGGGGCCCTCTTGGGGCCATCTTGGAGGCTGTCGATCAAAGGTGGGGGGGGGGTCTTAAATTTCCGTCCCCTCCCCCCCCGCCATTGTGGTGCCATCCAGATCGTGCCTTGAGGCTCTCTTGGGCCGATCGTAGGCGCTCGTGGGGCCGTGTTGGGGGCCCAGTGGGCCCCTCGTGGGGCTTTCTTGGGCCATGTGGGGGCCATCGGGAGGCCTCGAGAAAGCGCATCGGAAGCGTCAATGCGAGAAGGCAGAGACCATTGATCATCCGTAGGTGGCTGAAGGATGTTGGCCTCACCGAAGGTTTGAGGGGCGCAGTCCGCATGCGTCTCCCCCACCCAGTACAGCGTTTCGTGGCCCTACAAAGGTGGCTCCACCGAAGACGATGCCTGCAACTGCGGTATTCACCACTGCATATGGTTGGGTCCTTCGCCAGGCTAACTCGACTTTACACCCTCTTCATTGTTGCACATCGGATAATTTAAGCCCCCGTCGCCACCGAAGAACGATCCCAGGAAGCCTTCTAAGGCTCCAAATCATCGAGCACCTGAAGGAAGTTGATGTTTTTGTGGCTTCCGCATTTCCCCTTCTATACGCTTCCGAGGCTTGCGCAGGGACTCCAAGAAGGTCGTTAGATGCACAAGGCGCTTCAACAACTGAAATGCCATGCGTAGCCTGTCGAGCCTAGCTAAAACCTGCGCGCACGAAGCGCGCGCGATGGTTCTCGTAGCATATGTTTGTCTATCGAGTGCCCTAAATGTATCGTAGGTGGTTACGTGTTGATGCGCAGTTCGCTTCGTGTCGGATGCAGATCGCTTGTATGCAATTTGCGCGTCGCCTGCTTGCTGCTAGATTACAAGTTGATGTCACAGGTCTTGTGTATCACATGATCAGCTTGCCCTCTATGGCCACTTGCCTTCTGGATAGCCTATTCTTGATTCGACCGCAGCTGTCATTCATTGACCTTGCATTTAGCTTGCCAAGGATTGCCTCTGCATTGCCGTGTTCTGGCTTCCTGTTTGTCCCTAGTTCGCGTGTGTCGTTTGCCCTCACATGCGGTGAGTTTGCCCATGAGGTTCTCTTCAAAAGAAAGGAACCCCCAAACAGGATTGCGCGTGAGCCATGTTCTCGCTCCCCGCTTTTGGCAAACAGCACCCGTTTGGCCAGTGGCTTGGGGTAGGTGGGATTTGGGTGGCCGACTGCGCCAGGGTGGACCGAGGTACAAAGCCTATCTTGCACATTAGTTCTGACAACGGGAGGTGCGTGAGGAGGGAGGAGGAGGAGAAGGAGGAGATGTTTCATCAAACAAAGGGTGGTTTCTTCTCATGAAACGAACCAGTCGGCGTTGAGGCTGTAGGGTAATCCGCAACACCCGCCGCAGCTTGTTCGGCCTGTCCTTCTTGCCTCCTCCCCCCGCTGGGAGGAAGGAAAGAGCCGCCTTTGTTGGCGCACGCCCGTGCTCTAATCCAATGCTCAAGGGAGATCGGTGTGGCATCGGCGCTGGCAAAGAAAAATGAGGAGGAGGGCGAGGAGTAGAGGATGAAGAGAAGGAGAGGAGGAGGAGGAGGAAGCGGAGGAGGAAGGAGGGGGGAGGAGGAGGAGATGGCGATGATGACGATTATGACGATGATGATGGTGATGATGATGATGATGATGATGATGATGATGACGATGATGATGATGATGAGTATGTTGATGGTGATGAGTATGTTGATGTTGATGATGAAAATGGTGATGGTAATGATGATGATGATGGTGATGATGATGATGATGGTGATGATGGTGATGGTGATGATGATGATGATGATGATGATGATGCTGATGATGATGATGGTGAGTCTGATGGCGACGATGATGATGCTAATGATGATGGTGATGATGATGATGGTGATGGTGATGGTGATGGTGATGATGATGCTGATGATGATGCTGATGATGATGCTGATGATGATGCTGATGATGAGGATGGATACTGCTGATGTGTGTGATGATGGTGATGATGAGGAGCAGAAGGAGAAGAAGAAGGAGCATCGATAACCGAGGGGACCAGCAGCACGAGCAGTGGGGGAGTCTGTCGTGGTCGTCTCCGCCAGATCCGCGGCGAGGCCCAGGGGCATCCAGAGCTAACCGTTTGGCATCGTATCGGGCGCAGGGTGGCGGCCTTGCACTTGAGCTGTCTCGAAAGGCAGCGGCGCTCCTAAAACCAAAAAAATACAGACGTTCGGACCGAGGTATAGGATCGAGGTCGGCTCGGGGAGGGTGCCCCGATGTTTTTCGCGTATGTTGGGTGTTCTTGTGCATCCTGGGGGAGGTTACCCTCGAAGGATTCTCTTCAGTTTGGCTGGCGGAGGGTCTCCTGCTCTTGAAGGATGTTCTTCGGTCTTAGGTCCGGCGGCTCCGCTCCTTTCGGCGGCGAGCCCGGGGGGAAGTGAGAAGGGGCGGGCCTTCTCATAAGGCTCGGAAGTCCCCCGGCCTTCTGAGAATTTGTCCAGGCCTTCCCCGAAGACACAAACAAAAAGTCTGAGAGGGCTGGGGCGCTTCTGAGAAGTCCCGCCTCCTTCTGAGAAGGCCTTCTCCTTTTCACTTCCCCCCCCCTTTCCTCGCCGCCGGTCCTTCCCCGTCGAGGACGAAGAAGCTGCGGAAAACCCTTACACTTTCGGAGCTCCGCGCAGGTCTCTTGGATCTGCGCTGGAGCCCCCTCTGGCGTGCCCCTGGCGCCTGGAACCTGGAACATCCAGCGCCGCCCCTGGCGCGCTCCGCGCGCGAGGGAGGGGGATCCAGCACCGATCCCAGAAATCCGCGCGGAGCCCTGAAACGTTCTGGTTACGCAGTTCTTTCTTCGACCAAACGCAACAGCGGCCGCTGCAGCTGCCGCTGTGGCCCACGGCAGCGGTCGCAGCGGTTGGCCATGACAGCGACGTCGGCCAACGTGCGATTGAGAAGTCGAGGAGGGGCGGGTTCGGACCGCGCAAGGACTTCCAGGTGACGGTGGCCAGCGCGAGGAGGGACCTCCTCAAGCGCATCGGCGGCTCCCGCACCCAGCGCTGGCGCCCCAGCGCAGGAGCGTGGGCGCTCCAATCCGCATTTGCCGAGACTGGACTGCCCACATCCCTGCTCCAATGAAGGAGGTGGTGGAGGAGGACAAGGGCGAGGAGGAGGAAGAGGAAGAGAGCTGAGAATGCGGGCTAGAGTCAGTGTCAGGCGAATGAGGCGGGTGGACACGAGGCGAGGGTGAGCATACGGATGAGGATTTGAAGAGAGTGGCTATAGCGGTCAGCGTGTTACACGATATTTGAGTTCGCCCGCCCTCTGAGGTCTTACGCCTGGGTGCGAAGGAAGTAAGTAGGACAGCACGACATATCACTCGAGATTGAAGGGAGCGCAGTCTCGGCAAGATGTCGCTGAGCAATCGACAGATCGTAACTCACATGTTAGAAACCCTTCTCGATCGCCGCGGGATACCACGAAGGAGCAACACCGAAGCTCGACAAGACGTCGGAGAACGATTGCACCATGAAGTGTGAAGTGGTCAAACCTGTCGATAGCATCAATATTGTAGTTGTCTGGACGGCGACGGAGCTAGATGGAGATGTCAAATACTGGAACTCCCGATATCCTCAGATGGCGCAGGTGCGTACGCGAACGCACTCAGCGTGCACGTTGGATCGCTCTCGAGCAAGGTGATACCAGGGGCACAGCGTTGCAGGAGCTCCGAGCGCAGCTAGAGGGGATCCGCCAGGCAGCCGCAGGAGCTGCACCTAGGCGGCGCGCCCAGGGGGCAGGGCAGGGGGTGCCGGCCTCCTCAGAAGGCGGCGGACTTCTCAGAAGCCCTCCCTCCCTCCTCCTAAGGAGCCCTTCCCAAACATACTCGCGGTATGCAAAAAATCTGGACGGGAGGTTTTTCCCCGTTTTCGTCCTCCGAGGACATTTATCGGGCCCTGGGGCTGTCAAAAAACCAGCCCAGGATGAGGAATCGGTCCAGGGGAGCGGGTCGGGACTTCAAGGGATCCCGTATCGAAAAATCCCACCAGCCCTTTAGGGCGTAGGTGGTCTAGGGAGTTTCCTCTGCCAACCCCCTTCTTCCCCTTCGGGGAGGGGTTTACCCCTCCCCTTACCCCTCCCCACTGACCTGGACGGGGCCGGTCGCGAGGTGTCAGAGCGTCCAAGATGGCCCAAGACAGCTCCAAGAGCGAACAGGCGAGAAAACACAAAACATTGATTTTACCTAGGTTTTGGAAGGATTTTGGCATCTTGGGGGGGCCCAAGAGGCGACTCGAGGCACTCTGGAGGGGCGGGGCTAATAAGCAACCCCCCCTTCTTTGATAGATCTCCTCCAAGATGGCCCAAAGAGCGCCCCGAAGGCTCCCAAGAGCGCCCCAAGAGCGCCTCAAGAGGGCCCCAAGAGACCCCAAGAGGCCCCCAAGAAGCCTCCAAGACGTTGCCAAGAGACCCCCAAGAGGCCCCAAGAGAGTCCAAGATGACCCAAGACGGCTCCAAGAGCGAAAAGGCGAGAAAACACAAAACATTGATTTTACCTAGGTTTTGGAAGGATTTTGGCATCTTGGGGGGGCCCAAGAGGCGACTCGAGGCACTCTGGAGGGGCGGGGCTAATAAGCAACCCCCCCTTCTTTGATAGATCTCCTCCAAGATGGCCCCAAGAGCGCCCCGAAGGCTCCCAAGAGCGCCCCAAGAGCGCCCCGAGAGCGCCCCAAGAGGCCCCAAGAGGCGCCCAAGAGGCCTCCAAAAGGCTCCCAAGAGACCCCCAAGAGGCCCAAGAGGCTCCCAAGACGGGTCCAAGAGCGAAAAGGCGAGAAAACAAAAAACATTGATTTTACCTAGGTTTTGGAAGGATTTTGGCCTCTTGGGGGGGCCCAAGAGGCGACTCGAGGCACTCTAGAGGGGCAGCGCTAATTGGGGACCCCCCCTTCTTTGATAGATCTCCTCCAAGATGGCCCCAAGAGCGCCTCGAAGGCTCCCAAGAGCGCCCCAAGAGCGCCCCAAGAGGGCCCCAAGAGGCCCCAAGAGGCCCCCAAGAGGCCTCCAAGAGGCCCCCAAGAGACCCCCAAGAGGCCACAAGAGGCTCCCCGAGATACGCAAGAGGCCCCCGGGACCGCCAAGAGGCCCCAAGGACGGCCCAAGAGGCCCCCAAGCTCGCAATTGTCCTCCTCCTCCTCCTCCTCTTTTTCTTCCTCCTCCCTCCTCCCCCTCCCCCTCCTCCTCCTCCTCCTCCTCCTCCTCCTCCTCCTCCTTTCTCCTTTTCCTCCTTCTCGTCCTCCTCGTCCTCGCAGTCCTCCATCTCCTCCTCCTTCTATTCCTCCTCCTCCTCCTCCTCCTGCTCCTCCTCCTGCTCCTCCTCTTCCTCCTCCTACTCCGACGACGACGGCTCCTGCTACATCCTCCCCCTCTTGGGGTATATGGCGGCTCACCCCGCCCTTTGTTCTTCTGCATGCTCCCCCGCTTCCCTCATAACCTCCACTCCCCTGGGACTCATTTCTGGACGGGCTGGTGGGGATACGCGAAGCGTCTAGAATTCAGGACATCACATGTCTGGGTTTGCAGCTTCGGAAGAGTTTCAGGAAACGTTTCATTTCGACGCGCGAAATGGGTACGGGAAAACTGGACGATGCCCAACACATTCTGTCCAAAAGCGGCAGCGGCCGCTGCTGGCCAGGCGGCCTTTGGCTCGCGTGGACAAAAACCGCCGCGACGCCGACAGCGAGTCCTGTTCAGAGTGGACGTCAAATGCATGGCACCGCTCGGACGTGTGCATTTTTCCTCCGGCGAGGACCATCGAGGAGCATCCTTGATCATTTGGCGAAAAAACCACGCACGAAACAAAAAAAACACAGGGAATGGACGTCCGAGCGATGGCGAGAATGCTGCTGGTCTCCGTGCCCGTTCTGCCCGTCCCCATCTCGATCCTCCCGATTCCAACAGGCCCGAGGCCCTCTGAGCCTTTCGAGGCGCCCCGCCCCCTCTGCCTGAGAGCCCCCCCTCGGCGCGCCGCCGACACGCGGGGACCTGCCCCTGGAAAAAGCCTAGCCTGCCAGTGGGCAAAATTCCACGGCCCCGCCCACTCAAAGGCCGCAGCGCCGCCCCCGCCCCCCCCCCGCGCAGGCCCCCGACGTTATTATTTTTGGCAACGCCGATCCACGGAGGTCTCGACCCATGCCTTGGACCCAGGACCGGATATTCTCATCCTGAGTAGGTTTTGACCGTTTTGGGGCCCAGCGAGCGTCCTCAAGAGGCCGCAAATTGCTAAAAGCCTCCCGCCGTGATTCTTATCATGACGTCGCGAAAAAATAGCGACCGCGTAAAAATCACCACCGGAACCCCGACCCCATCTTTCTCGCCATTCCTCGAGCCAGATCGATATGTGACGGTGCCGGAGCACGAATCCCAGCGACAACGCCCATTACGAAAGAATTACAGCGCCCTCCCTCCTTTTTTTCCTCCTCCTCCTCCTCCTCCTCCTCCTCCTCCTTTTTTTCCTCCTCCTCCTCCTTTTCCTCCTCCTTTTCCTCCTCCTCCTCCTCCTCCTCCTCCTCCTCCTCCTCCTCCTCTTCCTCCTCCTCCTCCTCCTCCCCTGCCTCCTCTTTCGTCGCAATGTTTGCTCAAGGTGATGCTTTCTTTTGGGGAGAACGTGGATACCGCTAGTCCGCAGCAGGCAAGACTTCCTGAAGTCTGGTAGGAATTTTCTCCCACGCACCCTGCGCTCGGGGCGGTGGGTAAACGGAGGTGCTTCCCGTTCCTACCTTCCCGGGCGCACAGTGACTCATGCCCAGTGATGTCGCCCCTGCTGTCAAGCAAGCGAAGGGGCCCAAGAAGAAGCCGAAGAAGGCTCGTGGTCAGCCTGGTGCTCCCGTGGATGGTGGCGACGTGGGTGATGATGCAAGCGGCTCCTCTGTGCATTCAACTGCTGGTGAGTATGGTGTTGCTCCCGCTGAACGTGATCATGCTGCTGCTGAGGCCGAGATGCTCGACAGTGACGAGGAGTGGGCCAAAGACGACCACATCAAGGAGTTCGCTGGATATGTCATATCGCAGAAGATGGCGGAGCACCGCGACGAGCTCGTCCGCGACCTCGCTGCCGTTGTTTCCACGACGGTGCCTGACCAGGTCAAGAACTTTGCATATCAGTTTGTTGATCATGATGCTGCTAGCAAATTGGCAGAAGGCGTCCAACAGCTCCCTCGCATGGCACGCGAAGCTCTGGAACGATTCTGTACCGACAAGCTGGATGCAGACCAGCGGAAGTTCCAGGAGCAGCTCGACGGATACGCAATCAGGTTCCGAGCATGCGAAAGCCGTCTGGGCGAACACGATACGGCATTGCAGACCCTCCGTGAACATATTCAAGAGTTGCGAGGTGCTCTGGCCCTCGCCAGTGCCAAGCCAGAGCCAGTTCCCGCAAGTGCCGCAGGCTCCGACCAGGAGGTTTACGCGACTGACATCAGGGCCATGGCATCTAAGCTGGCGGAGCTCGACGCGGCCAAACAGGGTGTCACTGATTGGATGGTCGCATGCGGGGTCGATGCTAGGTTCTTCATTATCTCTTCGGTCGAGCCCTTCCCGATGCAGTTCGTCATGCAATTCGCTGGTGCTGCGGGCTCTGCTGCCCGACGCGCCACGCAGATCCTTGGCGCCCAGCGCATCGCCCCTGGCCATTGGAAACGTTTCGAGGTCAAAGCTACCGACGATCAACAGGCAAACCTCCAAATCGGAGCCTACAAGAGACCGAGGCAGGTCAAGCTCGAGATTCAGGGCCACAAGCTCAGCGAGGCCATCCGCGAGATCGCAAGCGACAAGAGGTGGTTCTTTGACCGCGACAAGAGGTCATGGCCGGACGGGACCCTGCGCCCCGTCTTTCGCCCAACCGTGGGAATATCGTTTCGGAGATCGCGTGGGCCGACAACATCGCTCAGAAGCTTGGCCCCCCTCAAGACTGTCTGGCCGCTGCGGCAAGGTCGCTTATTGCACCTCCTGAAGCCTCCGAGTGGAGCCTTTAACGGATTCGCGGATGCTATACATGGGCGACGGACTGGCACGCCGACGTTCTCT